GGCTTTATAGACCAGTAAAGTTCCTATTTATCCCTTCAGATTCTGCGAAGTATTAAATCATGGATGGAATTCTCTGGAACTTTAAAATGAGTCCTCTGAAATAATTGGCTAAACGTGTGGTGGTGGACTGCGATCCTCATTCCCCTCGATTCCAGTGACTCCCATCATGTATGCTTAAAAAACGTGTGCTTTACTTGAAAAAAAAAAAAAGATTCTCTGATCTAATGTTGAGGCTCGTTCTTTCTTGTCTGGTCTCATTTCATCTTATCTGATTTCATCTCATAATCACAGATAATAAGCAGTAAAAAAAGTTGTTTTAATCACTGAAGATATAATGGTGTTCATTTCTCTGTTCTGTTTTTTTTTTTATGATTACTTGAATTTCTCTCTTCGCAGAAGCCACTGCAATACCAACAACTTCCACACGGGGATCAATAAAGTGTTTCAAATTCAGATTCTGAGACCTGACTGAACTGAACACTTTTTTCCAGGTGGCACACTGACCACGTCACGGGATGACAAACGCCCGCTGCTCTTCTGGTCTCCATGACGCATGACATAACCCCACGTCCCTCTGCTTTATGTGCCAAATGGCTTCAATTACTGGAGTCAACGTGCACTGTCAATGTCACTATGCGGGAGCCCTGTCTGCTTAGCCCGTGACAACCCTGACGGAAGGTAGAATTTACATCTGCACCAAATTACTCCGTGGGGGAAAATTCTTTAATGATTCTTATGAGAGGAAAAAATATATTTAGAAAAACTTGGAAAGTCGCCTCTGTCCAGATTGTGGTTGACACTGCAGTAAACATACTCACTGATTGCATCTGACTGTGGCTTCCTGACTCGTGTGCTGGTGTTACTGGCCTGGACTGTAACAAAGGAAACACTTGGTAAGTTAGTGCCACATATTGCCCTCCCCCGCCCCCCGGTGTCTCTCCGCGTGTGCATTTTCACAGCAGAAAGGGGGCAAGAAAATTAACACTTTATAAAAGCTGTTGGGAAGTGTGGAACATGAGCACAGAGGAACTTGCTTTGCACAAGAATGAACAGGTTTGCTAGGTTAGATTTCTAAATTTTAAATTATTCTTGTATTGCAGATTTTTCACTCATTATTTTTATGATAAAATAAGCACTTTCTAGGTTAAAGAAAATAATTTAAAAAAATCTAAATACATTTTGTAACACATACTACATACTCTGTATGTATGGGTAAATAAAATTTGTGAACATTTTGTCACGTTTTTATGCCATATTTTACACTGTAATGCCTCCTAAAGGGTTTGTAAAGGGTTAATATATATATACGTAAATAATATAATAACTATCGCGTCTCTACTTAGCAGTTCTTTCGCCTATTGCGGTCTTAGAACGTATATACATAAATAATAAAATAACTATCGCATCTCTACTAAGAGGTTCTTTCGCCTATTGCAGTCTTAGAACGTAACCCCCGCGATAGACAAGGGACCACTGTAATGCTGTTGTATCACAAATTCTATCACTTTCTATACAAATCCACTCACTTATAATACCAACGTTGGTCTCAAACCACATTCAGAAACGAGAAATTATTAACTTTTTTACGTTAACAACCCACCTTGAGAAAATGTTGTACTTACTGGTCAGTTGCCCAAAAATGGGAATACTCTCCTCTGACTCATAATAGGAGCTAATGGACACTGAGTAGTCCAGTTCTGGGGTCAGATCAGAGATTGAGGTTGTAGTGGTATACGCATCAAGAGTAAAGTCCCTAGTTGGTTCATCTGGAAGAAGAAATGTCAAGATGTATGTCAGTGTGTTTTGAGGATGCCAGTCTTGGTAGGATCAGAACTCAGTCTAGAACTGACCTGCATCTGAGACAACTTGTATTCTGTAGCCCTCTATCCACGATGAGGGCGCGTTCCATGACATTTCCACTGTGTTTTCATTTAGAATTTTAAAATTTAAGTTTGAGGGAGGCTCCACTGTGAAGGAGAGATCACACAGTTAAATCACCGTGACACACACGTCAGTGTATGAAGAGTTGAAGCACGTGATCACATTTGACAAACGACAACAGTTCAACTAGACTTTTACAAGGATCCCAACGACAAACACTTCATGACTGAAGCGGACTGTTTGGTTGTTGGGGACAGAAGACACTGACGCCCGTTTGTAAGGGTGATGAGTAGAGAACACATGACAACATTTAAAAAAAAAAAAAGATGTGAGAAGCCATTTTTGGGAGGAGGAGGAGGGGGGGGGACAAAATGGCATTTGTTTGAGTTGCACAACCGAGATGGCCAGCAACTCAAGCACAGGCATACACGCATGTATGCTCACATGTGCACGGCTCCAAACACACTAACCAAACCAAAGTGCAAACAATGAGTGAACCATCCAACACATGCTGGGTGCAGTCATAACAACACATGCCTTTGACCACACACCGAACAGCTTTTACCACGGAGCTAATCTCCAGCGTTACCAAAACACCACGCTGACGTCATTCCTAAAGTCATGATTATACAATGGAATCAAAGATGCCATGAAGTTGCGGAAGTGACACTGGACTAAATTGAACATCATATGTTGTATATACACAGTATACAAACATATTGTAGAGGCAAAAAAAAAAAGTTTGTTTTTTTTTTAACATTACTTGGACGACTGAGTGGCACACATCCATTGCAAACCTTTTAAAAAGAATACACAATTTGTCACGGGAGACTCTTGTGTACTTTTTATTGGCAGCGTAACACATGGAGAGGCACGACTGGAGGTTGTTCAGACAAACTACGTACAGTAGAGGAAGTGGGTACATTTCAAATAAATAAATAGGGAAATGTATACAGTTTGACAAGACCACGCGCCTCTACATGGAGCTCACTTGTTCACAGCATCATGCATCATGTACATGAGAAAGTTGTTTGGGTCAACAACTTTGACTGACTGGGCAGTAGTTTCCATGTACAGCTGGGACCACACAGACAGAGATGACAAACATATTTAAAAATGATATTCTTTCTTTCTTTCTTTCTTTTACAGAGCTGCTGAAGCACAGTTGTGTTAGCGTTGAGTGTTTGACATTAGCGTGCATGTGAGTAGGAGTGAGGATTTTCTCCGTTACATCCTTGAATCATTTTCTTTACTATCAATTTCTTGGTGTTTCGTGCATTACTGCCCCATAAAGGCACATTTGAGGACGTTAAAAGAAACCAATCCAGCATTTGTAGTTTGGACCAGTGAGGGTACAAACGAGGCTAAAACTTGGGATCCAAATGAGTTTGTCCCCAAGTTCTACGTGGGCATCATGCAAAAAGCCCACATGTGGGTGAAGGGCAACTGGGAACCGTATATTGGCCCCACAAGTTGACCACTTTCAAACCCGTGCCTACTTTGTACCCATGCAGCCCAAATTACCGTCCAGGTGAGGTCCACGTGGACATGCTGGAAGGACAAGGAATTGGCTGTGACATAAATTTAGCCAATGACACCATGGTGTCGTGAAGCTCTAGGGAATTAGACTAGAAATGACAGGAAATACCAGTCCATGCAGAGAATGTCCACATGTCAAATGTCCATGTGAATCAAGGGGTCGGGGGGTGAAGGGGGGGGTGCATAAAAAGGCAAGAATATCATTTTAAAATATACTTGAGAGGTTGAAGCTTGGGACACACAGGCAGATGACAAACAGGAGCCCAGTAGAAACTGGGATACTGGGATTGGAGGATCACCAACCTGGCTTATCAACTCAAGAAGCGCCCGGTGGACCGTGTTCCCCTGATTTCTCCGAGAGAACGCGTCTTCAGCACCAAACGGCAAAGAGTATGGAAGTGTGTCTGGGTGAGGGTGTGTATGAGCCGAGGTGTTTGTGACTGATGGGATGGGACGACGTGGAGACCTTAGGGTTGGAGGTTTCACCTTGGCGTTTACCTTGACCGTGTCGGCCACTTTGGTGTTTAGTGAACAAAACGTCTCAATTTGTTATACTTTCTCTGACCACGAGCCCCCAGGGATTAGGAATATTCTTGCAGAACAAATGTGGTTTGGGTAAAAATAACAACCCCTGAAATGCTGTTTGGATCTTGTGGTTGTTTTGAGGTTTTTTTGTGAATGTCTCCCCCATCAGTTCCTGTTAAAGGACACTTTGAGGGGCCAGAGTCTGGCCCCCGTCAGTCTTCAGTCAGCCAGCTATCCTGGCCTGTGCTACTGCCAGGAAGAAAGACCAAAGAGGGGAGGAAAGAGCTCTGACTCTCCCAAAGAGGCAGGACACATGCCAAAGTAATTCCACAACATGTGCTGACATTAAACATTACTACAGATGAACTTTCCATACGTATTGCAACTCAGCATTTTTTTTGTTTTTTTTTTTGGTCGATGCCCGCAACGGAGGCTGAGAAAGACTCTTTGTCTTTTAGCTGTCTGAGGATTAATTTGCTCTCCTCGTATTTCATCTTTCCATTCCGTTAGCGGAGATATGTGAGAACAGACGTTAGACTTCTCTCACCCGGGAGCCAGGGAGCTTTCAAAGGAAGGAAAAATTCAGATGGTTTTCCATACAATATTTCCATATTTGTCATTATTCAGTCTGAGATGTTTGCATATGAAATTGCTTCGAGTCACATTCTGTCAAAACCACTGACGGATTGTTAGCAGGAGGTGGTTGGCTCCGGTGACACGGACTGAAGTGTGTTTAATTACTGCTAAGACAGCGACGTATTAGCAGAAAACAAAGTTAGGGCTCCGAAATAGGATTTCTGAGCACATGTTTTTTCCATTTGTTAGCGTATTGCGTTACTGTTTAAATTTTGGATCCTGTAAAAACATGATTTTTCTAAACCCCCTCTTAAATCATCAAATATATAACTGTGGCCACATTTACGCATTTAAACTACTTTAAATTGCGTCTGCTGGGGGAAAAGAAAATACACAGCAACAGCTCTAAGAGTACTGCTCAGGGACCAATGCAGTTTTACTGTGCAATCTAGAGTATTTCAATTATTGCCTTAGGGGGAAAAAGGACAATGAAACTTTCATTGTGGTGAATTTCGTGATCACATTGGTCGAATCTAAGGTTTGGGTGAAGTTTGTAACTTGAACCAGATGAAGGAAATTAAAACCAATGTCTGGTCTAATTGACAAAATGACCTCTGTGCTTGTACTTAATGACAGTAAATAAATGCATTTAACACAGTTAACACACAGTGCCTGTAATGTGCTCACAAACTGGACAATAAAACCAACAAATTAGGAATAAAACAAAAAAAATAAAAAAAACAAGACAATAAAAAGCAGTCAGTGAGCAGGAAGTCAAATACCAGACTCACTGCAGCCACATACCATACACATCAAACCATCAAACTTTATTCACATTTTCAGTACAAATAGTCTGTTGTTTCCATATGACAGAGAAAGTCAAGTTTTTTTTAAAAAAAAAAGAAATCCCTGTGATGTGATGAAGGGTTGATAATGGGTTGAAAGAGAGGAAGGAAGAAGAAGATAAAGAGACAGAGTGATATTGGACTGTATATGTACTGTAGGTCGGCCGAGGCCGGACGGTTTCATTTACCTTGAGCGTCTATGGAGGATAAAAGGGCTGCGAAGAAGGCAGCCCCGGCCAGTGACAGCCCTATCTTCATGTTTGCTCTCTAGCGGTCAGCAGAACATCAATCACTCTGAGGACACAAAGAGACAAGGAGTTTTACACTGCACCGTGTCGGCGGAGGAGGTACTCGGTGAGGAGACATCTCAACCCCGCAGCAGATTCAAAGCAGCGTGCGAGCTGCAGAATGACTAAGAAAAGAAATCATCTTTTACACGTTCCGCCTTTGCAGCGAGCACACAAAGGAGACCAAAGCCCGTCTGAATTATGTCTATGAAGCAGCAGCTCCAGACTGGTAGCTGTCACTTCTGAATCACTTCTGCCTTTTATCATGATGACAAAAAAAAAAAAAAAAGTACAAGCTCTGTCTAGACTGCTGTGCACATGGACCACACCTTGTTGCCTCCAGCTGACACACACACCCAGAGGTAAATACTTTGTGTTAACACCTGTTGGCATTCAGCAGAGAGGAACCGGAGGGAAAAGAAAACAACATTTGATCAACTTTCATTTGCACTGGCGTCGGTGCGTGTCCATCATGTCACTATGTGCAGCATAAAGAACATCATATCTCTCTCTCACACACACACACACACACACACATAGTCAGCATAACAAGAGTAATTGATTTTTAGAATAATAAAAAGTTTCCTCCTCACCACTTCACTGCTCTCACAATTATTATATAAACTTTTTTAACAATTACTAACCACAGTGATTTTTTAAAATTTTTTTTTTACTTTTTTTTCCTGCGTCACTTGAATTTACACTAACCTAATGTGACAGGGTAGAAACGCTGAAGCCTGCAATATATTCGACAGACAAATGGACCTCGACTCAGGTTTATTAGCAGCCACTGTGTTCATAAACCGCAGGCTTCGTGCTCCGCCTGGTGCACGAGCAGGAAAACTGCAACTGCAAGGGGGGCCAAAGTGACTGCTGGCCCCTGTGGTCTCTGAACGACTGTAATAGAACTGACCCAGAATTTACACTCTAAAATACAGCAGTTAACATTGGGGGGTCATAAAATTATATGGTTATTATTGTTAGTTCAATTTTTGTAACTGAAAGTTTTCGTAATATTTCGCAGTGATAATGTAATGTAATTGGCCGACGATTTATGACCTAACTTTAAAAAATAACAAAAATAAAAATAAAACCCACCGCTGTTTTAGGATTGTACTGCATCACAACACTGTCGAAAACTTTCTCTATTTATTATTATTGTATTAATGCAATTATTTATCTACTTGTTGCGTTTTTATTCACAATTCACACAAAAAATATATAATTATAATAAATACCAAAATCAGTTAACAGCCAAAAAAAAAAAATCGATGCACTCACCTATTCAAAAACGTCCCAAAATAAATACGGCACACACCAGTGTTCGAGAACAGCCTTTCTTTCTGCCTCCCCCTCTGGAAAGAAAGTGCCTGTGTCTCCTGTGTGGCTACTGGAAGCTCCGGCGGCAGATGTCTGAGGAGGTAAAGCCTCTCCCTCCAAATGGGAAGAATCTTTCCACCATCGGCTACTTAACAGGGGGGGCAGTTCCCAGCTCTCGGTTTACCATCATATGGGCTTCTTACGAGGGCTGCCTCCCTGTGTGCCCCCCTCCCTCCCTCCCTCTCACCCTCACCCCCACCAACACCCATCCAGAAAAAATTATTCACTCTTTGGAAATGACATGATTTTTGTTCTTTCCTTCCACCAGTGCATTCCTCTGGTCTGTCGACGTATAATGAGTTTCCATTGAAGTGCCAGTGTGGTTTCACGGAGGCAGCAGTTTGGCCACACAAAGACTGGATGTGAACGCATGTGGTTAATATAACGAGGCATTTTTAATCTGGCTTAAAAATAAATAAACACAATAAATTCGCCCGCTTGTTTGTAGCGTGGAGACAAGAAAATAAACAATAATCACGCGAGTCTGTTCACTATTCAGCTATGACCACAATGGGGAAATAGAATAATTTCGCAAAAAAAAAAAAAAATGTAATTCCTTGCTTAACAGTCCATTCTACTGACTTACTGGGATTTGGTGTCCTCTAGTGGTCATATTTAAGACTTACGCTAGATATTTGTAGGATGATTTAGGAGGCCTACATATGGGACAAATGTTATATGATTTAATGTTGATAAGTTATTAAAGCTCTATCTGTCAAGGATAATTATAAAAAACGATTAGATTATTTTTGCAGCGTTGGGAGTTGTTGTTAGAAGGACTAACGCGCATCACTTGAACTTAAAGTCAACCATAATTCATTTTTACCATGTTATCCTTTGCGTTTCTGTACAAAATATAAATATAAAATTAAAATAAATATGGCTAACTGACGCAATGGATAGGGTTTTTTTTTTCATATTGACAGATGTGTAGGCCTGAAGTGACATTGTCATTTATGTACATTGATTTCATTTTGAGATTGTAATAACTATTTCTGGAGTAATACTGACTGAGCCTGAAGAACAGGACAGAGGTAAATTAACTGACAACATTTTTAACTCAATCATAATACAGTATAAGAGTCACTGGAGACTGAAGAGCCTGACATCCCAGATAAAGAAGAAAAAACATTAACACATACCAAACAGAGTGGGAGTCTGAATTCCTGACGAGCATAGTGTGTCCCGACTCTTCTTTTAGACCAACTGGTAAACAAATACCCTTCTGTTAGGTCATGTTGTTTCAGATTAACTATTATAAATTCATAACTGACATACAATAACTGATATATTGTGGAGCACTACAGACTGTTTGTATTTTTGTTGTGATTTTATGTACAGAATAAAAGAAAGTGATTGTTTTAATTGTTTATTTCTAGTTTATTCATTTATTTATTATCTAATCTAGTGACATCCCTAAACTACATCAAGCACAGTTGGAAACACTGAGGAGTCTCTCCAGGAATATTAATATTCATTTCTATGGGCTAACTCTAGCAAAATCATCGGGCATTTAGAACCAAAATTGTGTTTTTATAGTAATTAAATTGTAATTGTGGAATCAGATTATACTGGCAGCTGTCTCAACGGTGATGCACTAAACATTAAAACGTTTTTTGTTTGTTTCGCCGCTGTGGCGGTTGTTACCGGCCTGTGGTGTGTATAATATGGTTCCTACTCGGACCTATTTCAGAGACGGACCAGTTCAAACGCTCGATACGGAATCATCCATGGGACTTCCCTACTACAGAGCTTGGTCACTTCTTTGTCAGTAAGTATTGGCACATCAACATTTTGGTTCGTTTCATGGTGTACACGTTAACCATAAGCAATTCATTTTATCACGTTTGTGTCGATTTGTTCATGTTACATTCGCGGTTAAATCCTTTGTCTTTCCGGTGTAGTATTTTAAACTGACCAACAGAGGGCCTCGTCACGATGTATTAAGCTGTTAGTTGAAGTGTATACTGTATCTACTACGTACTATATTAGTGAGGTGTAGGGATGTACATAGACTCCACTGACAATAGGATATAATTCACGAGTTTTTTAAGACAAATTATGACAAGATACAATTATCGCTTATTTGTGAGAACTATACAAACTTGATGAAATTATTATCTTAAATAACAGAATACATAAAAACTTAGGCTACTTAGGGACCAGATGTTTTTGGTTTATTAGCAGGTACAAGATACAATTATCGCTTATTTGTGACTATACAAACTTGATGAAATTATTTAGAATACAAAAAATATAGGCTACTTAGGGACCAGACGTTTTTGGTTTATTAGCCGGTTTATTAGCCACAACCAACGTTTTTATGCGCATACTGCCACCTGTACTGTAGTACTATCTATATGTCTATATAGATATGTCTATCTCCCTGAAAATCGGAAATCGTACTGCGAGGGCAGAATGAAAACGGATTATAAAAACTGTCAAAGCAGCCGATAAGACAATCTGGATCTTAAAATAAACAGCAGTCACAAAGGTAGCTCAGGAAAGGTAGTAACATAACAAAACATTAAGTAATTGAATCAAAGTTGTTGTGTTTGAGCATGTCAGCATTCGTAATGGTTTCTTAAACAAAATAGTGACATCTGTTGAACAAACTGCTGTACTTCAGTGAGATTAAAATATACGAAGGTACGTAGGAAAGTTCTAGACAGTTGAAACGTAAAAAGTCATCCGGTTTTATTAACTAAAACATGCGTTACATGCGTGTTTATTCAAAGTCAACCATAAGTTCATTAAAAAAAAACATTTTAATGAAAATGTCTTCATACTTGTGGACATTAAAAGAACTGCAGGAGACCATTTGTCATCAGTTGTTTCATTGGAACTTATTAACCTTATAATAACTGATAAACTTCAAAGTTAAAACCACTTCTTACAAACTTACCAAGTGAACAAAGTCATTTTGTGACGAGAGACAGGAACCGATAGACAGATCTTAGAAAAGTGACACTTTTAAAGTGCGTTCAGTTTCATTTGGTTAGCTGCAAGAAATACATAACATTGAACAGGCGTTTGACAGGAAAGATTTTGCGCTCCAAAATGAAGGAGGTGCTGTCAAGGTCTCTCAAAGGGGGAGCACCACAAGGATACGGTGGTGTGGAAGATAGTGAGTAGTAGAAGGAAGTACGAGTGGCTTACATGCCAGCTTTGGTACAATTCACTGTGGATGCCAAGTTATTATCCAAAAAAAAAAAAAAACAAGACAGAAATACTAACAGGTAAACATTAATACATATCAATCACCAGCATGCGATTTGTTTTTCCAATCCTCAAACAGGAGTTCATATCAAAGTCCAGAGGTATGTCAGTTAAAATACATAACAGTACATTCATCAGCAGGACATACAGTAAAGAGTACAGAGCAGAAACTGAAAAACTACATACATCCTTCATGAAGTAAGGTGGCAAGCACTGCTGAAGTAACGCAAAGTGATGGAATTATCGATAAACAGAAGTTGACAAAGACGGACGATAACGACTACACAGACCAACTGTATACACGGAGTATGACAACCCGTGGTACTTCACGTCAGCTCTTGATTGGACACTTTCCACAGAACGCATGACAGACATTTTACACAGACCAGTGTATTCACACAACATAGCAACAAGCAATCGGGAACAGTCTCCAGAGGGGCATCGATGCATGCAGGGATGAGCAGAACCATTTAGCTCGGTATGTCTGCGCTGGTGTTGCGAGTATCGTATTTGTGGTGAATGATGAGCAGAACGACGCCCAGGAAGAAACAGATGGAGCCCACGGTGAGGTAGGCAATGCCCAGGAAGGGGTTCTTTCCGCCCATCCAAGAAATGGTGCTCAGGATCATTCGTTTGCGACCGTCGAAGCTAAGCACGGGGTAATCTGATGACGTGGTTAAAGGGAAACAACAACAACAACCTTGAGAACTACAGATCAGTGTTTATAAATATGAGTACAGTGCAGTATTTTTAACAATTATTTTACAGTGTTCCTTATAATGACACAGATGTTAAACAGCACTGGGTGTGCACTGAAAGGATACTGTAAGTAATCTCCAGGACATAGTTCCCACTGGGCAGTGTGGCGGTGTTGCTGGACTTCTTTTGGATGATGCGATAGAGCTTGCGGAAAGTTGGCAAGGCAGCAGTGCGCATCCACACAATAAAGTCCTCATTAATGAAGCCGTTGTTTTCGGAATCCGTGGGGTCCAACTCGTACACCGCCTTCCTCCAGTTCACTGGCTTAGAATTGCCTGAAAAATAGGAGGTGAAAAACAAAAATGTCACTGCGATTAATTACACGAGGAAGCTGATATATAGACGGAAAACTTCTCATAACAAAAAAGCAGTGTGTGCCGTTTGCTCACCTTCGAAAGATACTGTGAGGTTGTCATTCCCACCAGGATTCCTGAATTTCACATGTTTATCCGTCCACCATGCAATGCCTTTCTTTACCAAAGGAATCTCTTTTCTGGTGCCATTGGAATCAACATAGTACAACTCCAAGGTGTCTGAAAGAAAAGAAATAGTGTTAACCATTGGATTCAACAAAATCATCCAAACAGATTTTTAACATTTCAACCATTTTTAACTGCCACTGACCATTGAAAAGGCTGTTTGCTATAGCCCCACATGGGGCAATAGGCAGCCCATTACTTGTGCGGTACGGCTCACATTCTTTGCTGGGGTTCTAGAAAAGACGCAGAAAGGTGCAATGAAGCAACTGGCAGACAATTTTTATCTGCAAAATGTAAATTAAAATTTAATTGCATGAACGTACCGTCAACGCAGATAAGTCACCGTACAACTGACTGTCATCCCTGGACTTGACGTAGCGCCTGTGGTTCTGATAGAAGTTGGACAGACCGTAGTACATGAAGACATTGCTCTGCAGGGGGAAAAAAAGATGTATGTTAGCTAGCTGCAAAAGATTAGCTATTACTGCACTTTACTGTTTACCAGGGCCAACAACAAATACTCAGTCTTAAATATAAAATGCAAAAAGCTCGTTATTAAAAACAAATTCAATATAATCTTTCTAACATTTGCTGGCGGAAGTATTTTAGGACTACAAAAAAATAAAAAAAATCGATGACCTCAAAGGCTGTAAGAGCTTTGTATTTGACTTTGGGCTCAAAATAGATCCTAATGAACATTCAGTGACAGGACAGCACTTTCCATCTTTTGTTATACACTTAACATATAAAATATTCATTGGGACAGCATTGTGTAATCCGTCCACCAGTCTACCTCAAACGGTTGCTCCAACTTGAAGTCGACCGAGCAGGTACATGACGTCGTGCTGTTCCAGCTAAAGTCCTTGGCGCAGCTGTAGCACGGACTGTCGGCGTCTACACCCGTGTAATCAATCTAGGAACAAAAAAGGAAGAAGCCTGGTTTAAAAGGAAGGTTCACGTTAATGCAACTTCCCTGCAGTGCATTATATTTTAATTAGGAGACGGAGGGAAAGTGCAGAGGTAATGATTTACTGTTGGTGAACGCTGTAGGCCTGTGGTGCAGTCAGCCATGTCCACACTTGGCACAGTTGTACGTTTCTGTCTCCAACGTCTTAGTGTATCATAGCACTCAGCAACATAATCAAACATTTTTGCTGATTCAACATTAGACATTATTGATTACCTGGTTTAGCGCTAGCTTTAAAAAGTGCAGAGCAACAGTTTTGAGAACAAGAAGTTACTGAAGTGGATCTTTGGATTGATTTTAGAACTTTATAAGACAGTCACTCTGTCTGTGTTATTATGACAGGCTCAGGGCTGATCATAATTCTAACACCAGCCAAACAGAACCACTTCAAGTTCAATTCTAACACCAGCCAAACAGAACCACAAGTTAAAGTATGCAAGAATTTCTAACAAACCCTATTATCCCTGCAGTCATTTTAACGGCATACGCAAACATATGACGTTATCTCCATCAACAGGGAATACAGTAATTCCCTCAGATGCAACTACAGCACCGCCTGCTGGAGGAAACTGTATTTACATGTACAATATTTTCGATCCAAACATATTAAAAATATTTTCCCTAGTCCAAATTATGATTTCAATTTTACAGGTAAATAAACAAGTATCCTACTGTCTTTTTAACTGGCTGTGCAGTGGAAGTTGATATTACTGTATAATGTAACCAGATCGTCGTAATGGGATTAGTTGTGAGTCTGATTAACTTCTATTTTCGATTGTGTTTTTGAGTGTTGTTTTGAGTTCGAAGTTGTGTTATTTGTGTGAACATCTCAGTGTTGTGAATGTCTTTTTTGTTTCTCTGCTCGTGTATGACAATACGTCCATTGTATTGAACAATTGGACAGTTACCGGATCGAACAAACCGAAATAATCCATTTATAAAATAATCGTCTGCTGCAACCTTTTCGAGCGATATCTCATTTAAATACATTTCATTGTGCATTTACACATTTCATTACATTGTAATAGACATTTCAGTCCATTTAATTCAGACATCATTTACCACTTCCTTGTTGTTAGTTTGACACGGAACTGTCATTAAGCGGGGACTGCACAGTCAAACTGTTGCTCTTAAATGATAAAAAGTGTTGACCTGCAGCTTTAAGGGGCTCGATTATCAACAGGCAGATACTACTGTGACCCTACCTCGAACTCTTTAATGTTGTTGGATGTGACAAACAGGGCGATGCCGATGGGAATGAAGAAGATGCCGATAACGAAGAAAGCTGGCAGTACGGTCCCCGCTGTGAGGATCGGCTGCCAGGCCACTAGTCTCTGCTGCTTAAACGCTGTATTGTCCGGCTTTTTACTTTTCGTCACCGCTGCTCCGCCGAGACCCGGAGTACCGGAGTGCGGTCCGTCCTCCTCCTTCGCGTTGTAGCTTGACGCCATCATGGCCGCAATAGGTCTCCAGTACTGTAATCCACTTAGTTGCCAGACATCGGAGGTTACTCGATCAGAACACCAACAAATAGGAGTCAATGTTAGTTGCCAGACATCGGAGGTTACTCGACCAGAACACCAACAAATAGGAGTCGGTGTGGAAAGCGGGAGCTTCGTAGAAGACAAAGATTCTCCTTTTGACAAATGTCTACACACCTACTTGTTGGTGTAGTAGTTTGGATCGTGTCTCTGGATAATCCCGTCCAGAGCAAGAAGCAGGAAGTGTGTCAGCCAATGGAGGATTGCGACGGAGTCGTTACGTCATCGCCAAAGGTACGGCCCTCCTTTCGCTGTTGAGCACAAACACGTGACGTGATCATAGCATAGGAGGAGAGAGGAATTGTGTTTGCGCATCGACCTTAACGCTTTATTTACCGAGCTAACATGAGAAAGTAAGTGATCTATCTATCTTCTAGCTTTTTAATGAGCTAGAAGGTGGTGTTAAAAATTAATTCATGAAACAAAGAAAGTTATTAAGCGATGTTGAACTATACTATAAATACACATTGCCCAAAATATCGACAAGATCTGTTTGTAGAACTAAATGAGGAATGCAGTTCTGACAAAGTTGTTTTATGGCCTAAATGTATTTTTTTATACATAAAAAAATATTACAAATGCAATACAACGTGATCCCCTCTCTACAGTGAACACATTTACACACGGTCTGTGTGAGATCCATTTTGTTGGCTTTCATACCCAGGTTTTCAAAACTTATGCCAAGTTTATGCTACCTTTTCATCTTCTTCTCCACGACCATGACCATTTATCCCAAAAGAAGAATACTTGAAGGTTAACGTCAGTAAAGTCTTGCACAGGTATTTGAATGCCCAGATGTATGACCGTTTTATACAACCTAATTGTGTTTCATTAGAAAGTTGTTCATATCATTTATAATAATATTTAATTTATTTGTACTTTTTTCATTTATTTCTCAATTAGATCCTTACTACTCTGTTGTCCCATGTTTTTTTTTCATCTGCAATAGTCCCTGTTTCCTTACACATTCAGTATTGTTATCTTCCATAGATTTGTATTCATCTTTAGTGTCATTGCCAAGATCCATAGTTCAGTGATATTGTTGTCTACATTTCTGTCATCGATCACTCCGCCCCTGTCCTATATTTAACGATGACGCAGTATCAAAGGAACCAGGATGAAAGTGCTCCGCTTTTAGAACACAGACAGAAAGCACTTAGTGGTTAGAAAATAACACACGGTCATCCATCCATTCCGGCGCAAGGCCGGACCTGATGAAGCTAAACCTAAAACAATCACTGAAAAACCCTGAGGGCGTTCTGCTCAAATTAGCTTTACAGCATAAGCATTAGCATCATTGTGCATCTAATTATGATTTTAATTATGTATTTAAAAACCACTCCCTAATGTCAATTTATTATTCAAACATTTATTTCTATTATTAATTAAAATGATTGCTTAGTCACCAACGGAAACATGCTACCAAAAAACCAAACAGACAAAGCAGCACCCTCACAAATCAAACCAACTCAAGGTCAGCACCTTGTCCATCCAAATCCAGAACAGCACCATGAACTCCAACCCATCAAAATGTTTTTGACCTTATCGTATTTTTATAATTGTAATTTTTCTTTGTCATTCATTAATTTGTTGTTAATCTTCTTTTTCTCACTTTTTGCAGGTATTTTTATATGTATATATTATTTTATTTATACATATATGAATTATAGTAACATAACACAGTAGTGACATTATGGTCTGACAACAGATTTATTTCAAATACACATTGGAGGTATAAACACAAGTTACATTAAAAATTAGTAATCTGTTTTATATTGTGTCGTTTGACCACACGGAGCAGGAAGCTGTTAGGAGCCGCACAGTCTGATACATTTAACTAAAAATGCCCAAAACTAAACACACGGTAAATCAACTGAATATGAGTCCATTCATGTGTCAAAATAGACGAGACAGACAAGTACAAAGACGGTGAAAAATAAAAGATCTGAGGACAAGAAAATGTACAGGAACATCCTCAGAGCTTTATAGTCGACGTGAACGTTGTCTCTGAAGCCTTTTAGGATCTTCTCATGTCAGTCAGGTTTTTCCACCGCTGTGTACAGTGTTGCCGTTCACAGTGGATTTCTTCACTTCTATCCTCATGGACTGAGTCTCAGCCCGGGACTCCAACCTCAGTCCGCTCGAGATCCCCAGGGATCCCAACACCGCTTTTCCTGTCTTGAGGTTCTTGGACATTGGGATGCGAGTCAGTCCTGTTCGAGGTTGCTGGGCATCATGCCCTGTCTGACAATTGGAAAAGAAGGAGAAAGAAACCAAGTCGTTTTTCAGATGAGGAAAATAAACGCAGCACTTGTAGTTCACACAATAGAGACAAGGAACATTTTCTTTTACAGGAAGTAAAGGATGTTTTTAAACGGCAGTTCAAATGAAGAGTGAGTGTGGAAGGAAAAATGCAAATGTCGACTCTTTCACATAATGCCCGATGCTAGTGCACTTATCTGGGCTAAGGTTTAGAGTGCATTTTCTAGTGCAAGGCTGCTTTGTGTCAACCAGAAAGCTTTGTGCTCCTGCATGGCAGCATGTGAATGTAAACACAGCGTAACAAATTACAGAATGACTGAAGCAGTGTGGCAAAATGCCACATCATTAGCTCTGCTGTTCTCAGCCCTGCCTGTTTGGCCATCTCTGTCACGCTAGCCATCGGATCCACAAAGACCAAGTTATAAGGGCCTGGAGAACATGAGCGCAGTGTTGTTTACACGCCCACTTGTGGCACAATAGAAGGATGTTGGTAGTGAAATCACAGTACAGTATTACACAGTTAACGGTAGAAGTTTAAAATGGCTCATAAAATGGTATCCAAAATAATCCTTGAACCTTTGTCTCCTGTCAGTTTTTATGAGCTTTCCTCCGTAATTTATCTTCCTTTTATTAAATTCTAAATCTGTTCTATAGTGTAACTCTATTAATAGAATTTTTTTTGTCACAGATCACCAGATTTATATCTTTTGTTTACACACAAATGCATTTCGATAGATAGATGATGTCACAAAATATAGTTCATTAGTTGATTAAAAACCTGAGAAGTGATTTGTTTCCTTTAACCACTAAAACTTACCAAGGCCTGTGTGGGTCTGGTGGTAGTGGATGTGGCAGGGCAGATTGTGATACTGCTCATCACTTTGCTCTGTGTGCTCTTGGTGGCAGTGGTGGTGATTTGACGTGGGGAACGCAGAACCGTGCCTGTTGATAAGGTCATTTCTTTGCCCTCGGTTACAGAAGTCACCGGTCTGACCACCATCTTTGGGGCTATGCTGTTGCTAAGCTGTATGTGGATCTTGTTGTCTTCGGTTGTGGTGATGATGCTGGTGTTGTTGTGGCCCTTCCTTACAGGCACTGGGACCATCTGCTTCTCAGGGGTGACCTTGAAAACGGCTCGACCCATGGTCATCTCCTGGGGCTCTGGAGAAGCAGATGTTTCAGAAACCACAGTGGTGCTGACGGTCATCATAGTAACTGGGGACATAGGGCGTCCTGAACCACTAGAGGGAGCTCTACTGCTCTCTGGAGATTTGGCTCTGGATATGGCTGTGATAGTGACCGGGGACTTGGCTCTTTCAGGGCCGTGATGTGTAGACGTTGGCTTTCTTTTGGGGTTTGGGGCAGAGTAAGTCGGAATGATTGTGATTCTGGATTTGGGTTGAGATGGATTAGGGCTTAGGGGAGCGGAACTAGAGAAAGCATCTTCGGTAGTCGAGCTGCTAATCTCAAGGGTGGCCAAGTTGTTTTGATGGTTAGGTGTAACTCGTATGTGTAACGGTTGCCCTTGTTTTGCAGGCATAGTCAGTTCGGAGGGCAAATGCTCTCCATTGATGTGCAAGTTGGTCTCTTGAGGGTGGTTGTCCTTTTTCCTCATCCAAGGAATCCAGGATTTTTTCATGCCCAGGTCACTGCCAGATGATGGACAACGCTCCACGGTCTTTTCTGTCGGTTTCTTTAGACACTTTTGTCTGATGTTGTTCATGATATGATTTTCTTCTTGAACAGACTTCCTGATAAACACAGCTGGAGTATCTTCCTCTGCCGACCCAGTGGCTGACACCTCTGTCTGTACCCCAGTCGATGTTACAGCAACATCTACGATCCTTCTTCCATTTAAGCTGGGCCTCAACGCTCGACTCTGACGTTTGGCCATTTCCAGCTCTTTGCTGAGGTGGAAAACTTCTGTTCTCATGTTTTTGGCTTTCTCTTCCTCTTCCAGGAACCTCTGCTGCAGGAGGGAGTAGTCCACCTGCAACTGGGAAAGCTGGTCTTCCTTGTGCATCAGTTCATGGATCTTCTCTTTGAGGGCGACCACATCAGCCTGCAGTTCCCTGGTCCTAGCTTCTTCTCTCTTGCATCTCTGCCTAAGGTCTTCTTCTCGGCTTTCCTCTTCTCCCTTCTCCACAGCTTTGTTTCTCGCTATCTGATTTCTCATTTCCTCCACCTGACGAGAAAGAATGTTAGCTTTGTCCTGTTCTGTCATGAACCTTTTCTCCAACAAATCGTACTGATCCTCTGTCTTGATCAGGTCTCCCTCCACAACTTCAAGTTGTTTGAGGCGATTTTTCAGGCGTTCAATTTCAAACGTCAGTTCCTTAATTTTGTTGTCTTCTCTTTGTACAGAGTCAGACATTCTCATCGCGTCGCATTTGACTGAGTTTTTCGCTGATAGCCTTTCCGCCTGCTCGTAGCCGTCTAACCTCCTTTTAATTTGAGTGAATTCAGAAGAAAGGTCTTTAGATTTATCCATTTCGTTTGCCAGCTGGTTGTTTAGCTCTCCCTTTTCAATGGTTAAAGTTTCCACTTTAGTTTCCATTTCTGATTTAAGTTTCAGGAGTTTTTTGCTTTCTTCTATCAGTTTCTCAGTCACGTCCATAACCTTCCCCTGCTCAGCTTTGACCATTGTACTCAAGTCCTCCTGTTTCTTCTCATCTGTCTTTATTCTCTCAATGAGGGTCTTGCGTTCTTCCATCAGAGCAACCGTCAGCGACTTCAGTTTGCTCAAGTCATCCTTGAGACTGAGCTCGGACTTTTCCAACCTGAGTTCAGAGGACTCCAGCTCTTTCATACGGATCCTGAGGGACACAACTTCATCTGAAAGCTCTTTGTTCAGGCCTTTTTCCTTTTCCAGAGCATTATGTAACTGTGTACACTCAGACTTACTCAGGTTGAATGCACCTTCAAGTTTCTCCAACTCCATCATTCTTTTCTGGAGCTTCTCCACTTCCAGTCTTAAGTCTTTACTCCTAGCGTCCTCCTCCTGAAGTCTCTTTTTTAGTTCCTTACACTGATTTTCAGTCTTCATAATCTCCTCGTCCTTTCCCTCCATTTCTAGAACTTGTTTCCTCAAACTCTCCAACTCAGCAACCATATGGGAATTGCCACATTCCTTTTTGGTAATCTTCTCCCTGAGCTCCTGCAATTCCTCCTCAGACCTTTTCAATATCCTGTTGGTGTCTTCCAGCTCTTCCACTTTATGTGTAAGTCCCAAAACTTTGGCATTGAGCTGACGGTTGTGCTGCTCCTGACCGGCCAGCTTGGCGGTCACCTCCTCATGTTGCTGGTTGAATGTGGCAGATTTCTCCTTCAGCTCAACCTCCAGGGTCTTCACCCTGAAGCCATCCTCTTGAGCACACTCCCTGGCTTCACTCAGCGCTTGTTCGCGTTGTTGCAACTGCTGGCTGAGTTCCTGGACCCGCTGGCTCTGTTTGTCCATTTGCTCGAGGTGCTGCTGCCGCTCATTGACCAGCATCAGGACAAAAGACTTCAGCTTGACCAACTCCTCTCGCAGCTTGGCCAGACGTTTGGAGTGCTCCTTTTCCTTTTTTGCTTGGTACGCTTTTTCGTTCTCGAGTAGCCTTTTCAGCCTAAAGAAAGGGGAAAGAAAGACGAGTCAAGGCATTACTGTTGTGTTTGTGTGTCTCGTGTCAGAGTCAGCAGCCTTCAAACTGGGGTGCGACTTTACAGGTGTAAATGAAACAACATTTACAACATTGAAACCTTTGTTTTAACTGAATTAAAACTCAATGTACCTTTTGTGTAACCAAAACATAACAACACGCACAAACCTTTTTTAAGTATTATTCACATAAAGGTGTTTGTTTTATGATTATAGTTTGATCAGCATAATTGCACAAACCTGATCTTTTTTTCCAACTTGGTATCCAATGCTACATACTTTACTACAATAATATAATTGTGGTATAGTGTACTCCTTAATTCTCCTTAATTTATTTAATGAATTTTTAATTAACTCCTTAATAAAGCTCTATCTATCTACTACTACTAGTATGCTTCAATCCCCCCCACCACCACCACCACCACCCTCCAGTTTACAGTACACACACTCACCCCGACCCACTGGTCTCCTTTTCTCTCGGCTTCTTTCTATGCTGCTCATGTACCTTTAACTCCGGCTTAAACAAAGTGCATGCAAATCCGACTCAATGCAAACGCCGCATCACCCCCTTCACAGAGACAAAACATTCACTCAGAACAGTTTGCATTGTAAAATATAAACAAAACAGCTTCGTAGATGCTAGACTGAATATTCTTTACCCTCCAAAGGTTCAGTCACCCAGAGTGGTAGAAAACTCCCGTCTAAATACTGAGAAGTTGAGATGTTTCCAATCTGAAACTCACCCACTACAGATTCTCCCCTCACTGATGCCAGAGCATCTTTGCCTTTGAATAAAATCCGGTTCGATGGTGAATGAAGCCACTGCGGCCTTCTCCGCTCCATAGGTCTCCCATCCTCACATTCCAGGCATGATCGAATTATATTAAGACAATGAAAGTTAAGTCAACAACAGATCCCCAGTAGGTGATGTCATCTCACCCATGTACGGCAGTAATGTTTGTTTGGGAGAGAATGTGTGCTGTTGAGCTTTGGACACTGAGAAAGGGGCGGGACCTTTGCCACAGAGGGTGTGTTTTACACCCCTCACCCTTCCGCCCCCCTGCCCCCACACTGGTCTTTGTGTTTTTGAGCACTTCGCATAATGCATTCCCTGACCTCTTTACCTTCACCCTAACTTTAACATCACTATAGTTAATCTTAATCCTTCCTCTAACTCTAATCTGACACTTTTAATCCCACGTCCAAACCAAAATTCAAACCTAAAAGTGCTCTTTTACACAATAGGGCAATAAGATGTCTCCACAAGACAAAGTGTCCACATAATAAGAAATTGTATTTTTTCAAAAAATGCCCCGGTTATATAGCTATGCCACTTTCATGGCTTGTTTACTACGTATCGGAGTGATTACAGGTTTGAGAATGTAAAACTTAGATACGTTTTTAAATCTGCCTCCGTTTAAAGCTGGTGCACGTGAACGTTTACCTCCATTTTGCGAAGAGCTCAAAACATTCTGCACAATCTCATGTATGACATGGGAGAATGTCTGCTGTAGTTCCACTTGAAAGAGAACTGTATGTGAATACAGTCCCCTGCAAAGACATGTGATGAGAAAAGCAGGTATGAATGACTTTAATGTCTCCCCCGTGAGGTGAAGAAGATCTGGGAGGATTTAACGGAACCGTGACACAGAGGTTCATGAAGTTCTCTGCCCAGAAACACTTAATCATACCACGAAAAAAAAAAAAAACACATGCGTTTGAACTTAAATCTCTGAAAACAAACGCCATTTGAATGTCTTTTCACTCTACAGCGTGTTAGCCAACGGCGGCGAATGCCAGTTGGGATTAGCACGCATGCCTGGCTACTGTACAAGCGTCCACCGGAGTGCACCGCGCAGCTCTTAAAATCCAAACCTACACAGTCAGATGTCACTGACACCTTCGATATTGGCAGCCTAAAATTACTTTCAAGCAAAGGTCAGAGCGGTGATGTCAGAGGTATTTGGCACTGACTGACGCTGTAGACTATTAATGCGAGGTGACTCGAGGTTGAGCTCTCTTTTTTTTTTTTTTTCTTGTTTCCTGGGGAATGTGCTCAGAGGTGATACAGTCACTGCAGCCTGTGTCAGGAGGTTGAACAATGTAGTAGACACAACAGCTGCCAACAAGCTGTCAAAACACTGTATGGTACCTTAATGACAGAGAAGCATTAACTGTTGAGACGGAAGTTCTGTGATAATGTACAGACTGTCTGACATCGCCTGACGTCCTGGAAACGGAAAAATGAAAACATAGAGTGGACACTGGTTAAAAAGCACAAATGTTCTATACAGTTCACCCCAGGCGTGGGCCACAGTGGGTCTTAAAATTTGACAGGGAGTGGGGTCAGGAAAATGTCATATCTATCTATCTAGTTACATAATTTGGACAAGTTTGGCGGGCCGGATTAAAAAGCCAAATGGACCATATTTGGCCCCCAGTCCCTATTTTGCCCATGCCTGGTTTACTCCGTGTACATTTGCTGCATACAGTACAGCTGAATGATATAGTTTGAGTAAATAATTATTTTGTCTTTTCCAAATTCTGTACATCTACAATATCATAATAATGGGAATGTGCCAGCTGGAATTTTTTCTTTACTTCATGACACGTAATTGCCCCGTCGACTAAGAGGGTGGTTATCAGTTAGTGTCATCTTCTCCGTTTCCCTTACTCTGCATTCCTCCAACATTTTTGGCGCGAACCTCTGATTTCTCTCCCTCCCTCACCCTCTCCCAGATGTTTAGAGATGATGATGTGATTGATAACAACCAGGTGACGAAAATGAGAGTGAAAGGCAGAACAGGCAGGTACCAACGGTGTCGTTGAACCAGAATAGGACAGAATGTGCTTTAGAAATTTACCTGGTAATTCATCCCAAAAACTCTTTTTCTTTTTATTCTGGTTACATATATTTCCCCTCAACCAGGGCTGGACAAAAGAGAAGAGATCAAGACCCCTGTCCCCCGCACCCTCTTCTCCCGGAGGTGACTGAGGATCGGCCAAGGAAGCTGCTGAAAAGTCCATGGCATCAAAAAGAAGGTCAGCTCTTTGCTTTCAAACTGAGGATCAAATGAAGGTGAAATGGCAGTGTTCGGTTCACACTGTCTATGCCAGGCATCAAACTACTGTCTCAGCTATTTATTATGAGCTTGTGTCGCCTTATTGGTTGTTGTCGGGTCAGTTTGTAGAGTATGGGTCTACGGGTCCACAAAGATTATAGTCGGTCAAGTCACTTGCCATAACGCGGTCATATTCTGATTAAAAAAAAATCCAACAGCTGTCAATAGATGGTTCCCAGCCAGATGCAGTCCATGGGCGGCCACTTGAGGGCCACTGGTTTAGCATTGTTAGCATCAAGAGGCTGAAACGCTAGCAAGACCATTTTATGTAGCATTCACGATAATTAAAATCCTGCCTCGAAAACAGCATCTGTCATTCAGTGCTCGAACCCGCTGAACTCACATCAAAGTGAAAGCTTAAAGGTCGATTTCCATCTTGTGATTTGAATCTCCTCTGCGCTCATTCGTGCACAAAACTGGCTGCAAGTTAGGTATTCAGTGAAGTCAAGGCAAAAGGAATGTCAGCAAAACCAAATCTTCAGTCGGACGTGAAGACGTGCGTGTCTCGTGTTGCTTCTCTGATGTCTGGTACTGACGTTTTCGTGGACACGGTAACCCACGATGACCTAAGGCAGAGGTGGCCAACCAGTCGGAGCCACAGTTTTTACTGTGTTACCACAAAGAGCCCCCATGATATTCCAGGGCACACATGAACTGCCCCCCAAAATTTTTCCACTTTTTCCTGCCATTTTGAGAGTGAATTTTCCAGGTTATTTGCGTCAACGCTCATGCGCGAGAGATTCATGTACTCAAAAATGACATGAACGTAAGAGCCGCACGCGGCCCCCGCGTGCGGCTCTTACGTTCATGTCATTTTTGAGTGACAATGGCCTCCTTTGGGGGGCGCCAAAGAGTCACAGAGGAGGCCTGCATGAAGTGAAATTATTTGCTGTCGCAAATAACCGTTTATGAATGTATTTTTTTTTTAAAGGCTGTGAAAATAAAATGTTTTCAAATACGTGCACACGATTTTGGGGAAGGTGGGCCTCGGCTGTCCTTACCTACTCTATGGGGGAGGCTCACATTCAGCCGATTTGAAAATTAAGTCATTTTCTTTGGCCACCAGGACGTTCATGGTAAAGTGCTGATGTGAACTGATGCTGCTCTGACTAAATGGTGACCAGTAAAGGAAACTGGCATTGATGGTGGGATGGACTGGTGTCTTCTTCTTCACACTGAGCTCTGTGTGTGTGTGTGTGTGTGTGTACGTGATGTGAGTCCTTCCATCAGAACACTCATCAAACAGCGGTCCTTTTTCATCTGTGGAGACTTTAATTAGTTCGGCCTCTTCTCTCATGACCATTCAGTTCACATCCACACCGAGCCTGTTTGATCTCAGAGAGGCCCTCCCCACACACACACACACACACACACACACACACACACACACACGCTTCCTCTCTCTCCCCATCCGGCCTCTCTTCACCCATCACCTCTCACCAACAGGCGGTCCAACCTCAGAGATGACTTCATTTCACTGATGATGTCATGGGAGCTTCATTCACTCCACTCAGATGCCTCCTCCTTTTCTCACCTCCCTCCGACCCCCCACCCAGGGTCATTGTCTCTCTACCTCCCTCCCTCCCTCTCTCCCTCCCTCTCTCCCTCCCTCCCTCTCTAACCTGGACCTTTTTCTTAACAACACTTTCCACTTGACCTCTCACACATTTCCCTACCTATCAAGGAAAGCATGTGAGGTCATCACCTTAGAAACCAGACCTCCCGCTGTCTCCATGTCACGCTCCACAGGTCTGATGAGACCATCTTGTGCACTTGCCCCCAGGGTTGACGCACTCCCTCAGCCACGCTTCTCCCTCTCTCCCCTGTACTCTGTACTCTGTACTCTGTACTATACCTCATGCACGTTTCATGAACCAAGTTTACAAGATACACACATATGTGTGTGTGTATATATATATATATATATATACTTATATATGTGCTCTATATATATATATAAATATATATATACATATATGCATATATGTATATGATGTATATATGTACTCTAATATACAGTCGAGGTCATATATACATATACATGCATATATAGGTGTACATATATATGTGTATATATGTACACATATATACTGTATATGTGCATACATATATTAATTACTCTACTTAAGTGTATATGTGTAATATAACTGTACATTGTTGGGATTTTTTTTTTAAGAAAATATAAAACATTAACATTCCCAGTGTGAGTGACGGGTACACCTCTCATCTCCTCATCTCCTCATCTCCTCATCTCCTCATCTCCTCACCTCCTCATCTCCTCATCTCCTCATCTCCTCACCTCCTCATCTCCTCATCTCCTCACCTCTCCCTCTCTTGCTCCAACAGGTTGGTGAAGTCGTCGCTCTTGTTCATGTAGTCCACGTGTTTGCGTTTCTCGGTGTCCAGCTCGTGGACCGTGCGTCTGTGGCACTTTTCAGCCAGCAGCAACTGACCGAGCATCCGTCGGTACGTTTCCTTGTGCTTCTCCTGCAGACGATCAAGCTGAGAAGTGCAGTGAAAATCATACGATTATGAAAGAAAATGACATGTGGATCAGTAGTTAGTACTTTTTTTTTCTTGTCTTGAAACCTAGATTTATGACATGTGGATCAGTAGTTAGTACTTTTCTTTTTTTGTCTTGAAACCTAGAATTATAATTCATATAAATTGGGAGATCAGGTGAGATTAGAAGAGGTTGTAAACTGACCTCAGCCATGGGCTCGTGGTAGACACTGTGGTGCAGTGGTTCACTGGCAGCCATGGAGCTGTCTCTCTGCAGGGCCTGGAGGGCCGAGGTGGGAACTGCAGAGCCGTAACGCGATTCAACGGTCTCAGCGGAAGTCTGTTTGGACTTTAACATGCTGATGACATCTTCTCTGGCCTGCAATCAAGGATATGGATAAAAATAATGAGGCATATTAACGAGTGGAATGAAGCGTGTACGGAGTCAGGATCGTAGCTATACCAATTCTTACCACAAGATGGAGCTATTGTGCAAAAAAATGTTCTGAACATCAATTCATGGCAATTTATAAATGATGGTTATAACTGGTCAAAAGGCATGAAGGATATAGTGTCGTGACGTCAGAGGGGCTGCCACCCACCTGCACCTCTCCTTCCATGATCCCCAGCAGTTTGAGCAGATCTTCTTTGGGCAGATCCATGATGTCGCGTCTTTTCTCTCCAGCGTCCGAGGACGTCAGCAGCAGCTTTTCTTTGTCAGTGATCACCTCCGCTGGATCCTCGCACACATTCTGCCGGACTCTTGCTTTTAGACTCTTCACAGACAAACCCACTTCCTGTTCTTGGCTGAGGTCGCGGTCGTCCTGTGAAACGCCCAGCACCCCGTTGGCTGTGGTCTCCACTCCACTGCTTTTGGTCCGCATCTTCTGCCTGCATCGGGGCCAAAGGACAAGTTTGTTGTATATATATATATATTTTAAATGTCTTACATTCATGCCCATGAATGAGGTACTGGCTACTGTGAAGTATACAGTAGTAGTAGTAGTAGTAGTATACAGTATGATACTTACAGGCTGTTTTAACGCCTGCTCACAGCTCACAGATTTACGACTTTACCCTTGCTTACCTTCTCTCAAAGCATAACTCTTCGTGCTCTGCCTTACTGACACACTTTTATCTAACATACACAGACCTATACATATTGTGAACACACACACACACACACGGGGTAAATCGCTGTGAAATATTGCCCTGTGCAACATTTACGTCCAGTGCCATAATGTGGTATAAATATTCATAATCTAGTCCGGTGTGTATTTACGTCTTGTGTCGCTCTGTGCTCTCCTGACAATTTCCATCTGCTCACGTGTGTGGTGTATCTCACGCCGAGTTGTTGATGGTGTGGCGGGGCAGTTGTGACACTCCTGGGTGCTTTAACCTTCGCTGTTTGGAATTAGAATCTTGAGAGAAACATTTGACGGAGATCCTGACTATAAATCAGACGATGACAGACTCTAAATCAAATCGTGATGATGTGTTAATTACTTTTAACGCCACGGGCCCTGGTGACGTGCTCTACAATGTTGATTACTGAAACTGAGAGAATGAACTGCTGTGAATGAATATTTACACCACAGCAGAGCCTGGACGTGACCCGTGTTTACGGCTGTAGTCGCTGCAGTCTATAATAACAGAGGTTCCCAAACTTCTACATGCCCAAAGACGCCCCCTCCCTGCAAACAGCATTAGCATCTGGCCGGGGACCCCCCTTTGCTAACTCACAGGCAATACTACAAAATGTGTAAAAAAAAAAAAAGAAAAGTTTTTGTAATGTATTCTTACAATGTATTCTCTTACTTTTATTCACTTATATAATTATTAAATTGGTTTAGCATAAGAAAATTATTAACAAACGTGTTTGTTTTTAGCACTGTCAAAACAGGCTAGTTAGCTACATGCTAGCTTAAGGAGGAGAGCAGTTTGATTACAGGCAGAAACCGTCAGGTCCACACAGATAACGACGTTGTCTTGCTGAGGTGTATTCATGTACTATTGGAAACGTATTATTATGGCAGTGTACATGTTGTACTTTTCAGGTTTTTTGGGGTTTTTTTACATTTATTTTCTTATCTTCCCTCCAATTTTCTGAGGCCCCAGTAGTGCCCCGTGGTGGCCCCCACTGTATTATAATACAGTTTCACACTCCTAACTCCTAACCTTTTTAAAGAAAGCATAAACATGTTAAAATAGATCATTAGTTTTCATTTGTGTCCGCGAGACGTTGTGTTTCTCTAGCACTCGCCATGTGGGTGTAAAAAAAAATGAATCCACCGCTGTCAGGGAGCTTCCCAGCTGGCACTGTGTGCTGTAACAGTTTTTGATGATACCTCTTGGCATCGGTGGTTCCATCAATTCTGAGCAATTTCCCAACTACACTGGCTGAAATTCAACCCCAAATCTTTACCAAGCCTCCCCCGTGCAATACTTAACGTTCCAAACAGTCATTTATGTATTTTCCCCTGACCTGCTCCTGACATACTCACAGCAATTCCTACAAAAAAGAAAAATCCCAACCAAGGGTTTTCATCCTGTAGTAACTTTAATATTTAATTTTCAGTCAGTTTTTGTGTCAGTTGTGATAAGGAATAGTTCGGGAAACTGTAGACGAGCCAGAAGCATTACTCAGATCCTGTGCTAGTTCACTGCCAGATTTTTTTTTTTCCCTTTTTTTCAATGGCCAACTTAAAGATACAGTTATTTTGACTTCTCTTTCTCACTTTTTTCCAGATTGTTCTCATTTCTATAGACTGCCTCTGCATGATAATCAGAAATTCAAAATTCTACCTGCAGGAAATGCTTTATTAAAGTGGGAAAACTATTTAATGCCCAGCAAACTGAAAAATCAAGTACATCACCAGTGACGTGTTCATTGAAGTAGCTTCAAGGTGGACTAAACTCCTGGCCCGCAGGCTCTTCTGGTCCGTAAACCATTTGTTAAAATGTTGTAGTTGGTTATTAGGCAGGTCCATAGTGCAGCGCAGAGGTGTCAAACATACGGCCCGTGGGCCAAAATTGGCCCGTTTGGGGTTTCAATCTGGCCCGCTTGATCAATTTGAAAAAATTAAAAAAAATACACAAACACTTCATGTTCAGAAAATGTTTTGTAAATGTATCTTTCATTAAACATGAAGATTTATCCAATGTACTTTTTGCATTAAAACAAAGGGGAATGTTTGTTATTCATAATTATCTTGTAATTATCTTGTGATTGTACTGGTCCGGTCCACTTGACATCTAATTAGGTCAGGTCCGGTCCACTTGACATCTAATTAGGTGTCAGGAGCAGCGAGTCCTTGGTTTGATTCCCAGAGGAACCACATGCTTGGCACCAATGGCAGCCTATTTTACCACATGCTTGGCACCAATGGCAGCCTGTTTGCAGCAGATCTGCTGTAAACACAGGGATTTCAAATGTTCTAATTTTTGTTTTAAATTATTATTTTTTAAAGTGGGAAATATGTGTACTAGCATTTTTAACAATGCAGTGCAATCCTGTTGAAACATCCCTGAGAGTCTGAGGAAAACCTCATGGACAGAAACGTGTATTTTATCTGGATCCTCGGTTGAAGATAACGGCACTAAATAAACACATCTGGGTCAGTAGTGCAGCTCTGTGTGTGTGTGTGTGCGTGTGTGTGTGTGAGAGAGAGAGGGAGACAAGAACCTCAAGACATTGAACACACTGTGTGATCAATTTCAAAAAATTACATCAACGCGGCCTTTTAATTGCAAACAGACAAACATCCCCACACCCTCTAAAATCCCCACCGCTGATGTCATAGCACAATCAGCTCTGAATCATGCGTTGGGACATCATGAGCACGTTTGCCAAAAATGTCCAGTAATAAGAACAATGCAATCTGCAACACTGAAGCTGAAATCGGATTTCTTTTTTTTTTCTGTGTTAAAATGGCTATAAAAAAGTGACAGAAAAAAGAAGAAAATCAAGAACCTGAAAACTGGTCGGTCTGACAGGGTTTTTTTTTTTTTTTTAATTTGTTTTCCTAAGAGCAGCAATCAAAGTGAAGTCTGCAGTTAGTTGTAATGGTGCTTGAAGTCAGTCTCTTTGAGTCCCACCTGTTTCCAGGAAATGATCCAGAGAAGAAAAAGCGGGGCGCAAGGGGGCGCGAGGGGTAGAAGGGGGATAACACTCATAACTGCCCTTGGTACAAACACGAAAGAAAGAATCTGACAAACCGACACTTTGAGAACATTTCTTATCTTGGGCCTGAGGGTTCAGTGAGTGCACACTGGGCTGTAGATTCATTACAGTGCCTTCTTTCCTGTCCATAACTATTAGTTTCAGCTGTGGACTCACTATCAGCGGGCCACATGCTGTAGTACAGCGGCGCAAGTGCTTACAATCTTCATGCCACCATTCAAATAGTGCCAGGGAGTCTGCATGCTGACCAGGGGAGGGGTATTAAATGGGCAGCGGCGAGGGCACGGCAGGGTGGGGGCAGGGCAGGGCAAGGGGGGGGGCGATGATGAAAGTGGAAACATACTGTAAATGACTCGGACAGAGTGCTGCTGACAAATTAATTGGCGCAGTGCGTAACACTTGACGGTTTATTTTTAATTTGTGGCACGGTGCCGTGAAATCCCAGGGAAGCTACTGTTAACAGAGCGTCTCGTTTGCGGTGTCGTTTCTGTTCACTGACACTGACACACGCACTGAATAAAGTCGACCAGTTCACACACTGGTAATGAAGACCGAAACACTGGACGGCAAGTTCTATTGGGCTCCAGTGTTTCACTTTTAAGGCAGTAAATTAGTCCTTGTTTAGTTGGTTAGTACTGTTTACTACTGGGCAGGTCATAAAATACTATTTAAAGTAGGAATGTCCGATGTTTACTTTTTGCTGATATCCAGATATGTTGATATTGTCCAAACACTTTTTTTCCGATTCCATTATCAACCGATCCAATATAGCTGGGCAGTGGTGGTCTGGTGGTTAAGGAAGTTTAGTGCTGCCATCTAGTGATTTTTACTTTCATGTACAGCCATTTTTCCCCAAAACTACTTTTAGGGAACACATCATTTGGCGAAACCCAGGCATTGGGTTTTTATTAGCGGAGGAAAAACCAAAAACGATTTGACATATATGACATAATTATGCTAATATCGGGCCGATAATATCGGACTACCGATATAACCGGTAAGTGTTTATCGACAAATGAAAACAGGATGAAAAACATCTGACGTGAAGAGAAGCCAATCAGTGCAGAGTTAGTCATGTAAACAGGAGGTACAAAGATGGACGTGAGCCAATCAGAGGCTCATGCGCTGTTCAGAAGACGGTACGTGTTAACGGAGATCGAAACATGTTGTGTAGTGTTAGTATAAGAGTGGGATAAATTCTACTTAATTAATATTTGGATTAATTGGATTTGTCACAGAATTAAACAAATGTTAAACACATCACGATTAATCATGATTATTCGACAGCTACCCTATAATTTGTCTGAAAAAATACAGTATACACGGCCTGATAGATACTTTATGTATATATATGTATATATACATATATATACATATATGTATATATATACATACATATATATATATGTATATATATACATACATATATATATATATATATATACACATTAAAATATATATACACATATACATATATATGCTTGTACAGTATATACTTTTACATATAAAATATCAAGTATATATTACTTTTGATACTTTTTAATATTTAAGCCTATTTTTCGTCAACGTTCGTTGATAGCAATTTGTCATCAGCGTGGTGTCTGATCCCCGCCGTCTCCGTTGTAGTGAATTCTCCAGAGCAACAAATGGGAATTCTTCAGCCACGTGGCCCCGCATTCCAGTCTGACATGCAACATTCCCTCTTGTC